GGGGGGTTGTGACAGCTGCTCTCAAACCAGTGTGGGATAAAACCAAACAACTTAAAATTGGTTAAAAATTCCACAGCACTTGCCATAATCTTTGACTTGTTGTCTTGTCGTTGTCTCTTGAATGTTTACTATGTACTGATGAAAAAAATAAAAGTCCACTAAGTCTTAATATTTCGTTTCCCCACTCCTGCACACCCACCACAACAACATGAGTTGCAATAACAGTTCCAGAGTAACATCATTATGATACTGCAGGATGAACATCAACACGGTGATATCAGATACAAAGTGGCATCATACGGCACTGTCACTTTCACTGTGTACACTATGAGGTCAATTCATTGGTTGAGGAAAGGAGTGGGGCGGATAACTTTATGCTCACATACCATTGGTGACTGTGCTGTAACTGGCATCTGTAGTGATGAGCAACTCAGTACTCTCCTCTGTTAAATGTGTGACAAAGGAAGGTTTTTGTGGGAAGGGGCACATGAAGGATTTGGCAAAAAGGGAAAAACAAAAAACAGCAAATCTGTATAAAAAAACTCAAGAAGTGAATGTGGTTGTATGCACAGCTCTGCGTGCGTAATGCGTATTGCATAGAATGAAACCTCAATATAGGAGACAGATTAAAGAAGAAACGTAAACAGCCCCACAGCAAAATCCCACTGCATGAGGAAAAACTAACAAGTTCTGGCATTTGTAGAAGTCTTCTGAATAATGTATTAGTTCCAGTAAACGAGTGTCTGAATGATCCAGCCCACAGAGGCAGCTGCACTGAGCTGCAACACATCCCAGGATGCAACGAATACTTTGGGAACAGAACGAAAACAACAAGCTGTAAGAGTATTCTTTAATAAAATAAGTGTCATCAGGCTTTTTGTTGCTGTCTATTTCTGCATTCCAGGAACATGCGTTCTCCTTTTTCAAGACGTCAACAGTAGCAGACGCATTTCAATGCAGAAGTGAGAACTGCAGCAGTACTGTAGAGGCACAGAAGAGTGCACTAATAATGATATTAACCTTAAGTGCTTCTGAAAGTATTTGTAGCTTCTGCTGTCTGCAGCTCTGCTTTGACTGCATGGCTCCCATGGAACAAATATGAGCACAGACTAATGCTTTGTGCACTGACCAACCAACACTCTTCCCTGAAACTCTCCAGCTGCCTCACTCTCCCCTGCTCTTTTAATAATTGATTCAATCTGCAGCCTCAACCTCTCTCTCTCAGATTAAGGGTGGGGAGGAGAGACAGTGGAGGGCAATGCCAGAGAGAGGAAAGTGAAAGAGGGCACAGGAGCGGGGTAAACAAGAGAAACAGTGAAAGAATCGGAGAATGACGGACAGGCTGATAGAAGAAAGGGAAAATGAGAAAACAAGTGGGGAAAGAGAAAGGGAAACAGGTAGGGGAGAGAGAGATGACGAGGATGTGGGCTAAATTATCTATGAGGTTAAACTGGTGTGTTTCCTGTTGAAGCTCTTATCTGAAATCATTCAGGCATTCAGCTAACCCCATACACACACATCCCAGCACACGCATGTCACAATATGTGAGCATGGATGGATTATGAAACAATAGCCCCCTGGGCACAGACATGTAACAG